AGTAAGGACTTGTGTGAATTGACGACCGAAATTTTACTAGTCACGGTTGGTTTGCATTAAGGCTCTTTACTAAGTCCTACCTGTTAAATCTTGTTGTGGATGTACTGACACAAAAAGTAGGGGAGAGAGCTCCTTGATCAATGTACTTTGGTGATAATATCGTGTTAGTAGAGGAGAGCAAAGAAATGTTGGAGAAGTTGGGGTGTTGGAGAAGGGCTATTGAAGATGGAGAACTACAGGCTGGTTGTTTTAACTGAAAGCGAATGGGCCATGTACTTTGTGATCTAAAAATCGGGGAAGAGCTGAAAGGAAAGATATACAAGAGTGTGGTGAGACTTACGTTGGTGTAGGTTTAAAAGGTTCAGGAAAATAAGATGGAGGTAGCTTAAATAAAAATATTACGGAGGATGTTGAGTAAGACTAGAAAGGACAGTATCAGGAACCACTTAATTGAGGAAAGAGCCGAGGTGACTACAATTTTAAAAAATATTCAAGAAAAAAGACTGTGATCATGTCAGACGTAGAGATGAAAACTATGTGGGATGAAAGGTAGAGCTGCTAAAAGTTGATGGAAGAAGAGGTAGACAAAAACCGAGGAGAATATAAAAGGACTGTGTGGTAGAGGACTACTACTGGCGAGAGAAAGATTTAGGTGAAGCAGAACCGGTAGTCAGAAATGAGTGGCGACGAAGAGTAAGGAATAGCGACCCCTGGAAATAAAAAAAGCTGAAGAAGAAGGATAGGAGTAGTAAAGCCTTATTTTAGGCTACACTCCTCTTCTTGGAGTTTTTCTGTGTGTTTGGGACGATTTTTTGTTAATGACTTAAGATTGGCGTGGGAGTTTAATGGAGCTTAACGTCGATCGGGTCGATATTCGGTGGGCAACTTCATCGTGAACTAGTTGAGGTGGCCTGCTGATAAAAATACCAGATGCATCCAAAAATGGAACGATTCCTTTCAGAATTGATTGTACTTTATTTAGTAAATCGCGTGGAGGTTAGCTGTGGCTAGTTCCTCACCTTGGTAGAGATATCTTGTGCAATGAGTTTGGGAAACCACATAAAACCAATCTTCCCATGTCCTTGTGTAAATTAAATCGACTATGAAGGAGTTATGTAGTTTTGTCGATGGCTAGTGGGTGCTAGGAGCTAGAGCTTAGGTGGGATGTAACTGGATTAAAATCTGGTTTGTATAAAACTTTGATTTATAGAAAAGTTGAAGGTTGACACTACGATTGCGTCTCTCGTTAGCGTGAAGATCTCGTTAGAGATATTGCTAGGAGTTTTTTTAGGTAAGACGCAGAAAAAGATCATAGGAATGAGGTTATTTATCGATTTTATGTCCGAAGTAAGTTCGTATAAGGAAATTTATCTGGGGTAGTGACTGTATGTGTGTTTCTATGTTGAGGGAGCACTTTTGCTGGCGGAACATTTGTGTGAATATGCCGAGTATGTGCCGCAATAGTTTGAACCGGATGGTGCATCTGCCGTTTATATGATTTGTGATTTTGTCCGCAGCTTGGAGAGATAGTTGCTCTTGGTTGGTATTCTGTCTTGTGACGTTCGCTTTGGCAGCATCTAGAATAATATTTTAAGCTTAGGGGGATGACGTTATTCGATCCAAGGATCTCAGAACGTATAATCTTCAGTGTTTCAGTGCTTCTGAGATTTTTTGTTCTGAGTTGTCGAAGACTTGAACAAAGTGTATAGGGATGCTATTTTAGCGGACAATTATTCTAACAATTTAAATGTTAAAGAATTGGCCTTATAATTGATGGTCTTCAATGTTTTTTTGTGAAAAATTATTGTTGGCGCCTGTCATGACGAAATGGAGGTTTGATTGGATTTTGGTTGTGACTTTTGGGGAGTGTTATTAAAATAGATGGGGCCAATGGTGATTATCACGATATTGTTTCTTAGTTTTGTCTGGAATTCGTGGATATTTAGGGGTTAAAATGTGTTGAGGGGTGCTGTTTTATCTAATGAATAGACTTTTAAGTGGGCTATGTTATTGGGAAGAAGTTCGTTTAATTTTAAAATATTGTTGAGAAGTGTTTTTTTTTGCAAATGTTTGGTGGGATGTGTTCTAAAGGTATTTGCTTGGATTGTGTTGTGTTGTATTTTTTTGTTGCTTGTGTGTGATGGTTGTAGGGGATGGTTCGGATCGATTGTTTGAGTTGATTGTTGTGTAGATTGAGTTGTATATGTTTCGTTTTGTGTTTTTTGATTGTATGGTTGGGGGTAAAGGTTTAATAGGTATATTTTCTGTCGCAGGTTCATGTTTTGTGTTGTGTGTAACTGTAATGTTATTGTACTGTAATATGGGAGATAAGGTATAAGGGATGATGTGTTGATTTTGGATTTGGTTGTAAGTGTGGCGGATTTGTAAGGAGACTTGACTGTAAGTGACTTGAATTTTGATAGGTGGGTAGATTTTGAGTTTTAAATAAATAATCGGTTGAATCTGCGTTGATTGCGGAATTATTAAGGAATGCGTGCATTTAGATTTGTTTATGTGATGGGTTCTGGGACTGGACGGCTGGCTGGGATGGGTATTTTTCGGTTGGAACTGTTTGTGATGGTTAGGTTTTTGGCTCTGGGTAAAACTTATAAAGGAGATAATATTTGTGATAATGAGAGAGACTGATTGGATGCGTTTGCTGCGGGAGGCTGGTGAGGAATGGTGGCTCTGAAGATTCAACGCAAACACTTTCAGCGGGGCTTGATCTGAAATTATAAAGGCATAGTCGTAGGGATGTATTTTGAATGGTGTTTAGAGACTTTAGCAGGTAGGTACTAGATGCCATATAAAGAATACTGCCATAATCTAGCTTAGAGCGAATTAACGCTCTATATATTTTAAGAAGAGATTCTTCATCAGCTCCCCAAGAGAAGCTAGCAAGAGATCTGAGTAAATTGATTCTTTTTACAGTTACAGTTTTCTTTAAGTTTCTGAATATGCTGTCTCCAGGTAACCTTTTTATCAAAGGTGACACCAAGAAGTGTCAAATAATTTACTGTACTGAATTATTTTGGATTTAGGTACACACATCATGCCTGACGGGAACTTTTCACACTTGTATCAACCCATAGATATGGTACAGTATAACCTTCATTTAGCCAAGTCTCGTCCAAATAAAAAATTGTTTTCCCTTCTTCTCGGTACATTTTAATAGTTCTTAGATAATCTCGTCTCCAACATACAATGTAATCTTTTTCAATTAAAACGGATTTTCTTCTATTCTTTTGTCAACGAAATCTCATCTCTCTCAATAGTCCCCATAATTTCTTGTTCCTTATGATTGGTAACTCTTCGTTTTCTCTAATTAATGTTTGGATTTTGTCCAATGTTGGAAATTCTTTGTTAAAATAAAAATGAGTGGACGCTGCGTCTTATCATGTTTTTATGTACTTCTTCAATTTCCAAGGGTTTACTCCCTCCACTCTTCTTGGGAGATGAAACAGTTTCTCCTTTTATTTCTTTTAGGAATCTATAAATTCCTGCTTCTCCAACCCCTGTCATATTTGAACACATGTTAACGATTTCATGAACATTACTTAAAGGGCGTTGATGTTCAAGTGCATCGTGTACATTTAATATTATATTTTTCTCTCTTAGACTGAAGGCACCTTTAAAACTACACTTAACCTAAAAACCTGTTGTCGACGTTATTTTTAAATGCAAATAACAAAATCTCTCTCTTCAATCCTGACCCCCCAGGGGGAGTGTAGTGGTCGACGTGATGTCGTGTATTGTCCGTCTCCAGAGATCTCTGTCTCTGGTCTTTTCTTTTAATTCATGCATAGGTCTTTGGCATATTCCTATAATTTGATCTATCCATCTTGTTGGGGATCTTCCTCGTGATCTTCGGCCTTCTACCTTTCCTTGTATTATGAGTCTTTCTATGTTTTCTGTGTTTGCTCTCATAATATGCCCAAAATATTTTAATTCTTGGAGATGGACTTTACTACAGAGTCGTTGGCTAACTTTTAGCTCTCTTAAAATTGAATTATTTGTTCTGCGGTCGGTCCAAGCAATTCGTAACATTCGTCTCCAACAGAACATTTCAGTAGCGTCTATCTTTCTTCTCTCCGATTGTCTCAGATTCCAAGATTCACATCCGTAATTCAGTATTGGGAATATTAAGCAGTTGATCAACCTCATCTTTATCTCTCTTGAAATTTGACAGTCCTTCCATATTTTGGTCATTTTTGCTGTGGCAACTTTTGCTAGATAAATAACAAAATATCGACACCAAAAACGTAGGTAGGTAAGACATGAACAATGTACGTCTACAAACTAAATGAAAGATGCGAACAATTTCTAATTTATATTATCGCCATAAGCTGTAATGTGGCATAAAAACTACTTACACTATCATTAGTGAAGCCTTATCAGTAATTTCAGGTAATCGTTCAAAGAAGGTATTCTTTTTGTGTCAGGCGATAACTTGTATAGAAAACAATAATCATCTTTAAATTACTGTTTACATTAATTTATTTCGTGAAACATTGAATTCTCTCGTTAATCACCCGTATATAATTAACAATAATCGTGTGGCATATATACCGAAGTTTTACGCACAAAAAAGGTATAGTGAGATTAGTGGACACTTATTTTACAGAAGATTTTTTAAAAGATAATGAATTGTTGACGGCATCTTAAAATATTAATTTTTTTTATTTATTTCAAAATAAGTATAGGGTGACGCCTATGGTTTTTTGACCTGTTGAGGATTTGCATACATAATGTGCTATCAATATGACGGAAAAGGACTATAGGACTTTTACATTTCACTGTATTACATACATAAACTTTTCTTTGATCCAAAGACATTTTTTGCCAAAAATTTTTAAATATAATTTTTCATTCTTCACTAATAAGCTGGCATTTCCTAGCACCATTTTTTTCTGTTCCGCACTGAGATCGAGGCTTTAAATTAATTTAATTATGTGAAATTAACGTTGAGTTTGTGATTAAAACTTTCATATATTTTTTAGGTATCGGTAAACAAGGTGACGACATGCTTGGAGGTAACAAGGGACTAGAACAAGCCATATCATCTCCATGGGATTTATCTATCTATAGAAAACAGGATATGGATCCTGTTGGTAATCCGGTCATTCGAGAAGTTCTGATTATCGCAATGGCTGGAACCCACCAGATTTGGGCTTTGTTTTTAGAAGATACAGTATGGTGGAAGTCAAAAAAATATACAGCAGGTAAACTATGTTAAAAATATTTACTGATTTTGAGTTCTTAACCATTTTTAGAACTTTCTTTTGCAATCAAAGTTTTTTCCTGTATATGGTACCTAAAGGGTAATATGTTTCCGAGTCACAAGCCCACCATATTTTTATGCCATACTTATCTGGCTTTGAAGGCATATACTGCTTGAAAGGACACCTAACTCGATGCGGAACAGGTTGCTCATCTACCGTTATGTTTTTTCCTGGTAAATAGTATTTCTGAAAGTTTTGGTTGACTTGATTCCACACATCGCGTACCCCATGGTAGCTTTAAGTATAGTAGGTCCATAAAACTTACTCCAACTTATATCTACATTATGGATATTGGAGCTGAGGTGCCCTGCAGTTAGTAGTAGTCAAATAAAGGCATATAGCTCTGTAGAGTCGCAATATTTCCAGTTCTCTATCCCCAGGACTTTTTCGTTTTCTTTGTACTCTTCTTTATGTCGTTCACAATTTTTTCGTCTATAAGCAAACAAAAGGAATCAACAGGGTTGTTGGGAATTTATCTATATTGAACAGACAGCAATTGACGGATTTGTAGTTATCTGTTTTATTTGCGTAAAAACAACTCAAATTCCTACAATATATAAAATTAACAATATAAAAAAAACTAATTATTTCCCATTACTTACTGTTCTCTTGCTGTCTGCTAAATTCTTAAATTATTTAAATTTTTCCCTGGGTGACAGTTTTTTTTGACGTTTTTTATATTATATTTGACATAATTTATGGAACAGTAGCAACGGGAAATTTTATGTAACATGATAAAACTAAAATTGAACTAAATACATTTTATACAAATAATAAATATTCGTAACACTCCCACCCGGTACAGTTCGATGTGAAAAAGAGACTGTACCACTTATTTTTCATCATCTTTTTGGTCTCCATTTATTGGTATTACCGCTAATTTTATAACAGGACGTTCATATATTCCACTTTTTGTTTGAACTATTGCTCATCAGGTGATTTTTTAACTTCAATTACCTTACCCTTTAACCAATTGCATCTTGGTAAATCTTTATCACATATAATTACAATATCGCCCTCTTTAATTGGTATAACTTGTTTATGCCATTTTGCCCTAAGTAGTAGTTCAGGTATGTATTCAGAAATAAAGCGTCGCCAACATTTATTTGCAAATTGCTCTCTGTATAAATAATTAAACTTAAATACTTTAATGTCTTCGTTTAAAAATCCAATTGGTTTATCTCCGTTTGAAGATCCAATTAAAAAATGATTTGGAGTTAAAGATTCAGATTCTTCAGATTCTATTGGAAAATAAGTAAGTGGTCTTGAATTTACTATGTTTTCTGCAGCTATGAGACAACTACAAAGTAATTGGTCAGTAGGGTTCCTGGTTGGTAATGAATCATATAACGAAATTTTAACCGCTTTTACTAGGCGCTCCCAGGCCCCACCCATATGTGGGGAAAGGGGTGCGTTGAAGTGAAATTTTAACTCTGGGCTAATCAGTGAATTGGCTATTAATTTACTGTCAACCTTTTGCAGTTCTTCTCTCAATACTCGTTTAGCTGCAATAAAATTCGTACCTCGATCACAATAAATATGCCTTGGTCGTCCTCTTCTGTTAATAAAATTTGTCAAGCATAGTATAAAACTGTCCACATTTAGTTTGTAAGCTACTTCGAGATGGACTGCTCTAGTCGTGAGACACGTAAATAAAGCTCCCCATCTTTTCTCTGTCCGTCTTCCAACAGTAACGTTTATTGGACCAAAATAATCCATACCAGTGTGTGTAAACGGAGCAGTAAATGTTGCAAGTCTACATGGCGGTAGAGGTGACATTTCTGGTGGTTTTGGCTTAGCAAATTTGACCTGGCATTTTGACAATTGGTCCTAATCTTATTAACTAGTTGTCTAAGTTTTGGTATATAAAATTTTTGTCTTATCTCATTTACTACAATTTCATGATTTCTATGGTGATATCTTTTGTGATAGTCTTCAACAACTAGCAAAGTTAAACGACTTTCTCTCGGTAAAATTATTGGTCTTTTAGTTTCTGAAGTAATATCTCTAGCTTCATCTAGTCTTCCTCTTATACGAAGTAAACCATCTTCATCCAGATATGGCGATAATTTAAATAAACTACTTAATTTATTAACTGTTTTCTGTAAACTACCAGAATTATTTGTTTTTAATTGTTTTATTTCATTTTTGAAATATTCACATTGAGTTTGCTTTATTAACATATTCCTAGCATCTAAAAGTTCTTCTGCAGTTAATATTCCTTTAGGCTCTTCAGATTTCATCAGTTTTGCATAAATAATTCTTAAAAATCGAAACACATACGCAGTTGCTCTTAAAATTCTATTAAATTGACTAAATCTTTTAAAATCAATTAAAGGTGGACTATTACATTTTACTTCATGAGTGGTTAATATTTCATCAGCTTTTTCCTTTTTAAGGGTGATGTCTGGAGGCCAACCGTTTTCTAATTGATACAGAAAATCAGGACCTTTAAACCAACATCTCGTGTTTTTTAAATTGGGACTTTTTGTCCATTTGTTAGCTTCGTCGGCTATGTTATTCTTGGTAGGTACATATCTCCAATGTGATACCATTGAGTTTTGTTGAATTTCGGCCACTCTGTAAGCTACATATTTTAGTAATTTTCTTGGGTCTTCATTTCTTAACCAGCTTAAAACTGTTGAAGAATCTGTCCAATAAACAATGTTGTGCACAGGTATGGAAAGATGTTGACAAAGGTTTTTAGCAAACCTTGAACCCATTACTGCACCATTAAGTTCCAGTCGAGGAATAGTTTGTGGTTTTAATGGTGCTACATGTGTTTTCGCTCCAATCAACGTACACTCTATGACATCTTTTTTCATTATTCTTAGATATGCCACACAAGCACTTGCGTGTTCGCTGGCACCTACAAATATGTGCATTTGCCTATTGGTATCCTTCCAGTTTTCGAGTTTATTAAAAAAGTACCTTGGAATTGAAACCTTCTCTATTTCCGGAAGCTGTTTCAACCAAACAAGCCATTTTTGAAACTGTTTATTAGTTATTGGTTGATCCCAAGAAATGTTACTCCTCCATATTTCCTTTAAAAGGATCTTCACATAAATCAAAAAGTTTGCTAACAAACCTAAAGGGTCATATATAGACATTAAGATTTGTAAAATTTCTCGCTTTGTTGGCTTTCTTAATCCACTTAAAACATCTTTGTTTCCTTTATTACATTTTAAATTAAAAATAAAATTATCTCCTTTTAAATCCCACCACATTCCTAGAACCTTCTCCATGCTATTATTGTTCCCTAGATCTAGGTTGACTTCTTCGTTATTTCCGTGAGTGGTGTTCATGATTTTCATTAATTTTTCATAGTTTGATCTCCAGTATCTTATTTCAAAATTTCCGCTGGCGTGAATTAAGGCAATTTCTTTTGCTAATTGGATAGCTTCATCCTCAGTGTCTGTTGATTCTAAGAGATCATCGACATAATGATTATTTACTATGGAATCAACAGCTCTAGGATATTCTACACTAAATTTCTTCGCATTAGCGTTTTTAACAAATTGTGCACAACTGGGTGAGCAGGTAGCTCCGAAGGTCATCACAGTCATGACGTAAACTTCCAAAGGATTATCAGAGCTACCATTTCGCCACAAGAATCGTTGTGCATGTTGATCTTCTTCTATTATACCTACACGAAGAAACATTTCCTTGATGTCTCCAGAAAAGCCAATCTTTCTTTCACGAAATCGTAGGAGGACGCCTAATAGAGAAGCAAGTTGGTCATCTCCTTTTAATAACATGGAATTTAAGGATATTCCCTGTACGGTTGCTGCTGCATCCCAAACTAATCTGAATTTGTCAGGTTTGTTAGGATTAAAGGCCGGAAATATGGGAAGATACCATGTTTTTTCTTGATGCTGTAAGAGTTCTTGTTCTGACAGTTTTCTAATATATTCCTTTTCTAGAAAATCTTGAATTTGTTGATTAATTTTGATACCTAGTTTTGGATTTTTCTTAATTTTTCTCTCTATACACTCCAGTCTTTGAATAGCCATGGGTTTACTATTAGGGAGTTTCAAGTTGTCATATTTCCAGAGTAATCCAATTTTATATTGGTTACCAATTTGAACTAGGGTGCTTTCTTGTATACGAATAGCCCTATCTAATTCTTTGGAAACAGACGGTTTAATATTTTGAACTCCGAGGCTTTCAACTGAAAAGAAGTCTTTTACAGTATTAAAGAGTTCTTGGTTAGTAATGCTTTCAGAATTACATTCGCAAATGTGGTAAGTGTAGTCTACTTCATTATTTGAAAACATTGCAAAAATAGTCCAACCTAACCTGGACTTTGCAGCTATCGGTTGAAGTTCTAGACCTTCTTTCACTCGAAGTGGTAACGCTAAGTCCCAGTTATCTAAGCCTATCAAGATCTGAGGAACAACGCTCTTATATGATTTGAAAGGCAAGTTTTTTAAATAGGGAAAGCTTTCTTTAATTGCCTTTGCGTCGAGAGTTTGTTTTGGAAGGCCTAATTTTCTTACTGTTCTGGCTGGTCGGTGGTCAAATTCTTTGGCCCCATTATAATCACCAGAAATAGAAAAGAATACTTTTTCTGACGCATCTTCTAAGCGTTGTTGGTTTCCAGTCCATTTTAAGCAAAGTTGTTCTGGCTCTCCCATTATATTTAGCTTTTTAGCAATACTTTCTTCTAAAAAAGTAACGGAAAGCCCTTCATCTAGAAAGGCAAATGTAGTGACCTCCCTACTTCCATTTCTTAAAACAACGGGAAGTATTCGAAAGCGTGTTCCTTGATGTGCCTCATTTTCTTCATCTGCAGATAAGAGGTGTGATTCTACTGTTTGCATACCGTTTTCCTTTTTAATAAGCTTTGTACTTTTACTAGATACTTGTTCTGAAAATTCATGAAGAAGAGGATGATGCTTCCTTTGGCATTCTTCTTTGTTGCATTTTACAGGATACTTACAGGGAAATCTGTGTTTCTTTAAGCAAAGCCTACATAAATTTAAGGCTTTAACAGACTCCCATCTTTGAGATAATAAATATCTCTGAAATTCTGAACAACCTGCAATCTTTTTACAATCTCTCTGATTACACAGTTTAAAATTATGTGTTTCACTGGAGGCATTTGGTTCATGTATACTAGCATGCACATTATTATTAAATTGCCTTTTGTTATTACTTTGGTCATTACGTACTAGTGTAGGAAGAGCAGAACAAACATTTGTTGCTAGATTATACAACCAATCAGCAAGTTCACTTAATCCCTGAAATTTATGAAAAGCACTGCGATATATCGCCCAATTAACTTTAATTTGTGAAGGTAGTTTCTCTAATAATTCATGCATAAGGGTAGGGTTATTAATGTAGTCTTTTAAATTAGATGCTTCCAATAAAACACATAAATTTTTAACTGCTAAAGCAAATTCTACCAGAGTTTCAAGTTTTTCCGGTTTAGGAGATGGTAATCTACGAATAGAATTTCTTTGAGCTTCAATAATTTGCTCAGGTCTTCCAAAAAGGATTTTTAATGTAGCTATAATTTGGGGCACACATTGAGGTAAAATTAAAAAACTTGAAACACTGACTCTTGCTGGACCTTTTAAACATTTTTGTAATCTTAATAAATTCTCATGATTATCTACTTGACATAGCTCAGTAGATCTTTCAAAACTACTAATAAAAACAGGCCAATCATGTGGATTGCCATTAAAAATAGGGAGATCTCCAGGATCTCTTCTTTTATATAATATACCTAAACTTTCATCGTTATAAGTTGGCAGAGGCTTACCAAGTGTTGGAGTTAAAGGGGCAACATTGTCGATAAAGGGCTTATCTATATTTAAAGAAAGGAATTTATTGACCAAAGGGTTTCAATTATTTCCTCTTCATCGATGTCCTGACCATCATTCGAGCACTCATCTTCTTCTATAATTCTCCTAGACTCCTTGGTTAACTCTCTTTCTTGGCGTAATAGATCTCGTTCTTCCTGCAGAAGTGGAAGCTTCATTTTTGTTTTGCTGCTTGTTGATGAGGAACTTTTTAAGGAGGTTGCAGAACAAGATTTCTTGATTTTGGAACTTTGTGGGTGAGACTTCTTAGTGGTTGCTTCTACACAAAGAGGGCACTTCCAGCTGTCATCACCAATTACTTCGGAATCATCCTGTACATTTACGCATTCAAAACAGCACCATTTTTTACATTATGTACATTCTACCATCCGTTCTTCACGATATGGCTTGCGGCACACAGGACATAGATCAGTTTTGGTTCGTCCAGCAACTAATGGACCCATATTCGTAGACCTTGTAAGATTGTGTGATTCAGCAATCGCGTGTGATGAATAGAATTTGAGCTTGTTGGGAATTTATCTGTATTGAACAGACAGCAATTGACGGATTTGTAGTTATCTGTTTTATTTGCGTAAAAACAACTCAAATTCCTACAATATATAAAATTAACAATATAAAAAAAAACTAATTAATTACTTACTGTTCTCTTGCTGTCTGCTAAATTCTTAAATTATTTAAATTTTTCCCTGGGTGACAGTTTTTTTTGACGTTTTTTATATTTGACATAATTTATGGAACAGTAGCAACGGGAAATTTTATGTAACATGATAAAATTAAAATTGAACTAAATACATTTTATACAAATAATAAATATTCGTAACAAGGGTCATCTACACTTTGACCAGGGCTAACATTACTCTTTGCACTTTGCTTTTTATTATGTCGCAGGATCGCATTCGTCCAGTCGGCTGTGGTTGACTCTTCCAGTTAATTCCATCCTTACCATCGAGCAATAAGACAAAAGAGGGAATCTAATCGTTATAAAAAGGAGACCAAAAAAGTGGCCTCTGATGGCGGACACATCCGGAAATGCAAAGGCGCCAAATTTAAATTTTTCGACACTTATCAACAGTAGCTATATAATATTTTTCAAAATGTGTCTTAGACGAGAAAGTTTTAATTAATTATTAATGATAAGAGTCTAAAATGCGACACAATTGTTAAAAAACTTCAATATAAATAAGATTTCATGTGACATTTGGGACAAACAATAACATAACCCAACTAAATTTGATGTCAAACAAGGAGAGAGACTCTCTATCCTTGTCTAAAGTGGCCTCTCAAGATGGCACTTCCTGTCTATCAATATGTTTACCCCTTCTACCTTTACATTCCCTCTTTTGTCTTATTGCTCGATGATCCTTACACACTCTGAAATCTGGGAACTTGTAGCTACACATTCTTCTTCATTATGACTGAATATTACTTGCTAATCATCTTCTTCACTTGCTTCCGAAAGATGATCTTCAATTTCAGAGTCACTTTCAATGCCACCTATTTCAGAAGATTCTGCTTCATCGGTATCCCATAAAGTATTAGCAATATCTTGTAGTTCTGCAGCTGATAATGGTTTTGGGGACATTTTATTCGCACTATCTACTATCACTGTAATTCAATATAATTTTAGGAGCTTAGTTTTCAACACTATTTCAAAATATTTATAGGTACCTACCTAACAATATTATTGCATTCCAACAATGATTATTAGTTTTAAAATTCATTTAGAATAGATATAACAATTTATATAATATAATAGATGTAAGGTATTGAATCATTTCTATAGGTGTGTGTTGTTAAACCGTAATTAGTAATACCGATTTTGTAATTTCGTATCATCATGTTTCATTCATGTATTCATCATGTCATTTCATGAAATGAATTATCTAACTGTGATATTGTAAAGTAGTAAAAGTAGTGTGCCTTCAAAAAAATGGTACCCACCAATATTTATGTTATTGATTATTATCAGCTGTGTATTATTTTCACTGTAGAAAATTGTTTAACCAGTATTGTCTATAGCTCTGAAAATTCTCTGAAAGTCTGAACATAATTTGTCTATGTATTTCTGGTAGACTATTTAGGTAAAAATTTATTCATACTATTTTAGGACTGCATCTATATAAAAGTAATTGATGTTTTGAATACCATGTTTACTTAATTTTTCCAAAAATGTCTGTTATACATTAACTTAATCAAACTTTACATTGACAATGTCAAACCATAATGGTCATAATATTTAGCATGGCGACTAAACTACTACCGAGCCATATATTTATGTGATTACTTGGTATATCTCAATCAGTATTTTTTTCGATAACTCTTTATAAATTTTAATTATGTTTTTTAGGTACTTGCATTAACATTGTCGGTTCCGGTAGAGAAGAAAATAGAAACAACAGTTATCCTCATAACGCGGCCTTCGCGCAACCATCTGGATTAGCTTTATGCCAAAATAATAAAGAATTATATATTGCTGACAGTGAAAGCTCGAGCATTAGAAGGATATCCCTAGTCGATGGAAAAGTCACTCCTGTTGTTGGAGGAGAGAGAGATCCAAGCGTGAGTAAATTGATTATATATATTATTTTGTTTAGGTTGTGTAGACTTATACATATATCAGAAAGAGATAATACAAAAAGATTTATGGAAGAGAGAAAAAAACTTGCATGAAGAAGTAAAAAGATAGTCAATTTTATATACCGAAATTTCTTTGGGAATTAATCAAAAACAAAATGTAGAAATCGTAAAAACGCAATAGACGAAAAGAGAACCAGTTACTAAAGATATTACGAGTATAAAATGTCTGGACTTAAAACTAGGGAGAACCGAAATTAATAAAATAAAAATGAGAAAAGAGTACAGAAAAACACTACGGATCAAATTATTAACCAATTCAAGCTTATAATACGGAACTATACTGAACAAAACAGACACTCCTGAAGAAATACAAAAGCAATTTAAAAAGAAAGCCAATCTGAAATCAGAACCAAAATGATCTCTAAAGTAGGTTCTCTGGATGCGCCAAAATGCACTCCTAATGATAACAGAATCCACAACAGATCGCCATACTTGTCGGTACAAATCTAGAGAACGTAATTAGTTACAAAATATGTTTGTTGCCTTCCTCAAAAGATGGACTTTGCTTAATTAGGAACCAAATTGGAGAGTATATGTAACCATGCAGTTGACAATCAATTCCAAATACACTTTCTGGTGGGGTAAGAGTTCTTACTTCTAAATCTTAGTATACTATTAACATTAGTAAGTCATCTCGACTGTATTACGAGTATCTTCCAGGATGACGGTTTGCCAGCTCTAGAATACAGGATTCAGTTGATACTGCTCGACATATCTCATAAAGATATGTGCTCACGTTCGGTTGCAGCTCTTCTTAAAACTTCTTAGCTTATTATATGATTAATCCATGACAAACGCAGAAGTTTCTGAAATGCCACATTTCGAATGCTTCTATACGATTTAATGATTTTAATTTGATAAACCATGTTTCAGCCCTGTATGTTGTTATAGGTCATATATGACCTTTTACTATGCGCAGTCTTAAGCTTAGAGGAATCTCCCTCCGGTTTAGCTACTAGCATTCTAATCAAGAGCGCGCGAGTTCGACCCTCGGCACCAACAACGACATTTTCATTTCTAAAAATTATACGAGTCATTCCCGTTTTTCGGAGGCCACGTAAAGCCATTAATCACCGTGGTCTTAAGTCACCAAGAATATCCTCTGCAAAAATGCCATACGATGTTATTATGATTATTTTCATTAAACTCTTTCCAAAGGTTTTCTTTTTTTTACGGTTCCTATCCGTTCTGGATGTAGGCAACTAACATTATTATCTCTATCTTGCTGTAGCTAGTCGGGTTGTGGAGATGTTGGACCATTTTCTTAGAGCCTGGAGCCCGAATTGCAACAACACATATCTTTTATTAATTTTGATGGTATACAAGGCAAATATCGAACACAGTAAGTAATTAAATCTTGCCCAAGTACTTTCGATCAATAGATCATCCTCGGGGGCATTTCGTCAGTTGTGGCCTATCCGACATGAGCAGAATGTCATACATGTAAATTTGGACATAACAATACAATACACAAAGACAAACAAACACTTTAAAATTTTTAAAAATGGAGAAGCTACATGTTATATAGAAGCCGGAGACAGAATTCTGTCGAGATCTATACACGTCCTGTAAAAAATGTCACCTTCTCCGCTTTTAAAACGATGTCTTCTTCTTCTTCGGGTTCCTTCTCCTAGCGGAGGTTGGAAATCATCATCGCTATTTTAACTTTGTTGGCCGCATTTCTAAATAATTATAATGAGCTGCAGCCGAACCACTCTCTCAAATTTCTTAGCCAGGACATTTTGCGTCGTCCAGGGTTTCTCTTCCCTTGTATCTTCCCTTGCATAATCAACCTCAGTAATACGTACTTCTCACCCCTCATTAAATGTCCCAGATATTGAATCTTTCTAATTTTAACAGTTTTTATGACTTCACATTCTTTATTCATTCTTTGTAACACCTCTATATTAGTTACTTTTTCAATCCACGATATTTTATGCATTCTCCTGTAGCACCACATCTCAAAGGAGTTTAATTTTTTGATTTCAGACTGCTTTATTGTCCACGCTTCCATGCCATATAGTAAAGTAGAGAAGACGTAACAACGTAGCATTCTTGTGCGAATCTCTAGATTAAGGTTACGGTTGCAAAGTAATTTCTTCAATTTTATGAACGTGTTTCTTGCCATTTCTATTCTAGATCTGATCTCCTTACTTGATCTCCATCTTCGGTTAGAAACGTTCCTAAATATTTATATGTTTTTACTCTTTCTATCATTGTATTATTGATGATCAGGTTATTTACATTTTGTGGTTTTTTTGAGAATATCATTAATTTCGTTTTCTTGAGATTCATTTGCAGTCCGTAACTTTCACATGCATTGTATACATGTTGTATTATGTACTGTAGATCTTCCATGTCACCTGCAAATATGACAGTATCGTCGGCATATCTAATATTATTAATGCTATTTCCGTTGACATAAATACCTTCCACGATATCCAATAAAGCCTCTTGAAAAATCACTTCACTGTAGACGTTGAATAAGAGTGGTGAAAGGATACACCCTTGTCAAACTCCTCTAAGTATACTTACTTCCTCTGTCAGTTCTCCTTCGACTCTTACTCTTGCTTTCTGGTTTTGATACAGATTCGATATAATTTGTAGATCTCTACTATCAATGTTTTTAGTCTTAAGAATACTTAAAAGCTTCTCATGTTGAACTCTATCAAAAGCTTTCTTGAAATCTATAAAGCAAGCATATATGTCCTGATTCATATCCAGGCATCGTTGTGTCAGAACATGGACTCCAAATAATGCTTCTCTAGTTCCTAGACCCTTTCTGAAACCCATCTGTGAATCACTTATTTCTTGTTCTAATTTCATGTGGATTCTGTTATGTATGATTTTAAGGAAGGTTTTCAATGTGTGGCTCATTAACGCAATTATTCGATAGTCATTGCAATCTTTAGCATTTGTGATTTTTGGAATCGTCACAAAAGTTGAGAGAAGCCACTCTTTGGGTATGTGTCCCGTCTTGTATATGGAGTTAAAAAGGTCTACCAAGACATCAATATTATCTTCATTAATTATCTTCAATAGTTCAATTGGTATTTCATCGGGTCCTGGAGCTTTTCTGCCTTTTGTGTGTTTTATAGCATACATAACTTCCTCTTTCATTATTTCTGGTCCCGTGGTTTCTCCGTTAACTTCTAATAATTGTTCTACTTTTTGATCATAAAATAGTTGTTCAATGTATTCTTTCCATCTACGTAGTTTGTCTTGCGTTTCAGTTATAGTGGTACCATCTGCATTTTTTAATATCCCGATTGGTTTGTTACGATTTCCTGAAATCATTTCTTTAACCTTCTTATGAGTGTTGAAAGTGTCATACCTTGCCTCACATTCCTCGATTTCTTGACATTTAATGGACATCCATGTTTCCTTAGCTTGTATTATTTTCTGTTTTATTTGTTTATTAATTTCTTGATATTTAATTTTATCTTTGTTTTTATGTGTTCTTCTTTCGTCCATTTTTTCGAGAATTTCTTGTGTCATCCATTCTTGTTTGGCAGCTTTTGTAAATGTTAAAGTTTTCCGTCCCACAGTCTCGATTGCGTTCTTTATATTCTTCCACTTTGTGTCAATATCTGTAGTGTTCTTATTTTGTTGTTTTATTTCTTGGATACTGTGATTTATTTTGTTTTGAGTTTCTTGGTATGTATTTGGTTCTCTTAACTTACCAATGCATATTTGTGGTCTAGATCTTTTCATTAATGGTTTTTTCAATCTTACATTCATATTTGCTACTACTGGGTTGTGGTCCGAGTTTACATCTGCTCCAGTGTAAGTCTTCACTACTGTAATAGAGTTCTTGTACCTGTTCCTTATCAAGATGTAATCTATCTGATTTCTTATGATTCTATCTTTGCTGTCTCCAGGAGCTTTCCACGTGTAGAGCCGGCGATTTGGTAATTTAAACATTGTATTCATAACTACTAGTTCTTCTATTTGGCACATCTGAATTAGTCTTTCACCACGCTCATTTCGCTCTCCCAATCCATACATTCCAACACAACTATCCACACTTCCTCTGCCCACTTTGGCATTAAAGTCACCCATTAGTATCAGAACTTCACGTTTTTTTGTTGTTTTCATTATTGTTTCTAATTGCTCGTAGAAGTCTTCTATTTCTTGTTCCTCCTTGTCAGCTGTTGGTGCATATACTTGAATAACATTCATTTTCCCTATATTGTGTTAATTTGTAGCAATATAATGCGATTCGAAAGCGGGGTGAAACCAAGTACGGATTTATCTATTGCCTTGCTTACCGTTATGGCCACACCATATCGGTTTGTTCTATCAGAATATCCACTATAATATATAGCTCCGTTTCTAGTCCGTTGTTTTCCAGACCCTGGCCATTGTACATCGCTTATTCCTAGAATTTCGATATTTATTTCGAATAAAACGATGTATCTTAGTACAACTAGTTTGGGTGAGTGCTCTGTAAGAAGCTGGGTACTGCAAAATGAGAATGAGATAGTTCACAAAAATGAGAGTGCTATACTTATACGAACGGTAAGAAGGGACGACAAAGATGAAGATACTATTTTGTTGGGACAGTTTTTGGACAGATAATAAATTACCTGCAAAAGACATATCAGCGATGATTAAATAAACGAACATCGCATTGTTTCGACCACGAAAGGATAGATTTGATGAGTGCTACCAGTTTGAAAATGGTAATTTAGAGCAAGTAGATTTTCGCAAACATCAAGAAGAAAAAGATAGAGCTAGGAAAGATAAAGCTGTTTTGGGAGAATGTATTGTAGTCACTATAGATGTACAAGCTGTAAAATTATGTCCGCATGTACGCGCAAGTTCTCTTTATTACAAAGTTAAATTATGTTTAATTATTAATTATTAAATTATGTATAATTTTACCATGTACGATATGGCAACTAAGCAAGTAACGTGTTATTGTTTTGACGAGACCAGAAGTGATTTCTAAACTAGCATCTATACGTCCAGTGTAGTAGATTATTTGAAAGAAAACTATTTAGACAAAAAGGATAAAAGAGATATCGTAATATTTTCATATGGTTGTACAGCCCAAAACCGTAATTGTGGCATGTCTCATGTATGCGACAGTGTCCATGCCGCAATAGAAACTGCGCTTAAAAATAAAGACATTTATCTACCGAGCGACTATGCAAGAATAACCAAAGAAGCACAAAGAAAAAAATCTCTACGTAGTGAAATCACCAGACTTCGATTTTTTTCGTAACTACATCATAAAGCCTTTATTAAAATATGAGTCAATTCGTCCTGGAAAACTTACACACAATCCCGTTGTAACTGACATTAAAGCATTAAAATATTGTAACGGTGACATACAGTATAAACTGACTTTTGATGAAGAGTTTCGTAGTCTTCCTCGCAGAGCCAAGGCAATCAATCTGAAGCAGACCGTATATCCGGCACTTCATAAAAGTCCTCAACATTAGAAAAAATGAGTATGATCATTTACAACAGATAAAACGCTTGATACTATGAGATTGCTGATTATATTATGATTCGCTACGGTTTCTGTAGTACGTCTTAGTATATTTTTTAAGTAGTTTTTTTTTTTTAATTTTAAACAATTATTTGTAATTATAGATTTTATTTAATTTTCTTTTATTTATTTTTTTTTAACTTTGAAAAAACAAAATACATGACCAATTTAGTTTCAAGTGATATTATGAGGGTAGATGGGAACGAAGTACATCAGGTCTTTAGCTATATCTATTTAGGGCATGAAATTAGAATAGGAAAAGACAATTAAACTTGTGAGATCCAGCGTAGCATGGGCTTGGGATGGGCAGCATTTGGCAAGATGCGAGATATTCTAAAAGGAACGCTACCGATTTGCTTGAAGAAAAAGGTTTACAACCAATGCATACTGCCAGTAATAATATATGGTTCCGAAACAATAACTTTAACCAAACATTCTGCAAATAAATTGAGAGTAACCCAAAAAAATTGAAAGAGCAATGTTGGGAATAACTAGAAGAGATATGGTACCAAATAGGATAGTGAGAGAGAGGACTAAAGTGACAGATGTCATAGAAAAAATTGCACAAGCCAAATGGAGATGGGCTGGAAATATAGCACGTTTAAAAGATAATAGGTGGACCAAAAGACTCATAGAATGGAGACCTAGAGAAGACAAAAGACACCGAGGCAGACCACCAAAAATAGATGGACGACTTGAGAAAAACAGTCGGAAATTGGATACAGAAGGCGCAAGATAGAGAACAGTGGAAGAACATGGAGGAGACCTATATCCAACAGTGGATGCAAGAGGTCGAGCAATGATGATGATGATGGTGATATCGATTTTATAATCAAAAAAATAACAATAATTGGTTCCTATTATATATTTTACTGCATTGTGACCCTCGACTTCCTTTTAATAATTTCAAAATATTAATTTTTATTATTTTCAACATATATTCATATATTTTACAATAAAACAATTTTACAATAACACATATTCATCTAAGTTTTATTTTCAGAATTTGTTTGCATTTGGTGATAAAGATGGTACCTTATTTGACGCCAAACTTCAACACGCTTTAGGAGTTGGAATAACCAGTGATGAGAAAACCCTTTTCGTAACAGATACATATAATCACAAAGTGAAGAAAGTCAACGTTGCCGATAATTCTGTGTGCTCTATTATTTTACCAACTGAAGATGCCACAGATGGTACTAGTAGCACATTTAAAGAACCTGCTGGAGTCTGTATTAGTTCCGATAATAAAAAGCTGTATGTGGCGGACACAAACAATCATCAGATCAAAGTTCTGCATTTAAATAACCAGCAAAATGTTACCAAAGTGGAAAAACTAGAGTTGAAAAAAATAGAGAATAATAAGGCTGAAATTGACAAATCTAGCTACGAGATTTTATCGAGAAAACCTGTATCAATTAATTCGAATGGTGGTAAAATTATTCTTACTGTAAATTTTAAGTTTGATAATGGTTTGGGACTTACCGAAGGTGCTCCGCAGAGGTGGTTGGTTGATTTGCCAGACATAACGTGGTCTTCTATACCCAAGAATGGATCAAATCTGGATTTGGTAGAAACTACAATTAGCGTACCTACTAATGGTATTAAACAGAACCAAAACATAGACTTTTTATTTAATCTTGTTACTTGTACAGACGACACATGTCTTCCTAAAAGCTTTATCGTAAGAGTACCGATTGTATACCAAAACAGCGAGAGTAAAGTTACTGAAAATATTTCCGTGCTTGTTAAGCCAGAAAATATCATTCTATTATAGAACAGTATACGTCTATATCTTTTTGAGTACAACGTTTTACAGTATAGCCCAAAATAAACAGTACTGAAATTGTAATTATTTTATTGTTTTAAAAAATACATTTGACACTTTATAACATGTTTTAAATGAGCTCCTCCTCTCTCAAGACAGACTTCATACTGATATGCCAGATATCTCATAATGTTATGGAATAAGGGTTGTCTGAAGTTCGCGAAGAAGCCTCTAACGGCATCCTAACTCATTGATGGTTTGTGTTATTAGGTTTGTGAATTAGGCCTTAATGATTAATTGTTTAACGATTACTTGACAGGTTTATACAAGTTAATTTGAATATGACAGCGCGCACAAAGTGAATTTATGTTTCAGTTTCAGTACTAATTATTTTGGGCAATACTGTATTTATAAGAATTTAACAATCTTGACTCTGGATTTGTCGCTAGGTAAATTTTAATAAATAATTTTTAAAAATGATATTTTAGATTGCAAACGGTAATATGTTTATAAATCTTCATCAGATGCCATATATGTAGTACAGATTCAACAAGAAAACAATTATTGTGTTCAGTGCAAATAATTGTGACCAGTTCGAGATACTGTCTTGACTTTTTTATTTTTTCAACGAGGCCAGTTGCAAAAACATTATGACATGTTCAGGTTGTCTTAATTCGTCTAGTGGTAGTTTTGCTATTTTTTGTGCAATCTGTTTTTCTGGAATGTTAAGACCAGTGCGGATCTGTTTTGAGGTGGATGTGAGGGATGGCATCCGTATTTTTGCAGAAAAAGTTGCGCACTAACTTAAGTAATAGTAATTAACTTATCCCTCCTCTCAGATAGGTCGGGAAGGTTAATAAAAAAAATTAAAATATTACTAAAATCTTTTTTTTTATATCCTTGACATTCTTGCTTATAACTTAAAAACAATTAATTTTGGGGCAAAGTCGCTTTGAAATAAAATGGCGATAATTGAATTTTCTTTAAGATGCGACTGATTCAAAATGTTTTAATTTATTACCCTTGCTGCAAAATATCAGTAAATAAAAAAATGAGCGGAAAGAAGCCTTTTTTCGTTCAATATTTTTCAATCACTTAAATTGCCTTAGGACCTTTATAGTTCGCCCAGAAAATCCTTATATTCAAGCATAATAAAACAGCCTATAAAATTTCATTAAAATCGTTTTAATAAATAGTAATAATTTTGCAATTTTAATAAGTCTTTAAAATCTTCTACAACAAAAACTAAACCATATAGAAATTTGAAAAAAAATTTTACTTATAAAAAGGTGCTTTTCCTAACTAACGTAGGTACTTTATGGAATTGAAATCGAATTATTTGGCCGGCCTTAGGAATGTTTTATAATTATAATCAATTTTTTGCTTATTAAGAAATAGAATATTTCGGTAAATATAAACTTAAATTAGGAAAACGGTGTTGAAAAGACCCAGCAAGACACTTCTTTTAAATTAAAAAAAAAATTGAATTACGAGCATTGTTTCCTGATATACCACCGGTCAAAGTTGACCGGCATTTGCGTCGGAGTTATAAACAATAAGATGATAATCTTTGAACCATTATTTTTTTCTTTCGGAGCTCTTTCTCGATAAAAATGTTTAGTTCTTCAAGATATTTATAACATATATTATAATAATAACAACCATCGGTATTGCGCGAGAGAACAATGTAAAACAAAGATTTAATGAAAACCATGTCAACGCAAATGGAGAACTCATGGCTAATCTTTGTGCGTTTAACGAATCAATAATACATCTTTCGACCATAAGCTCTAGTATAAATATACATTTGAAAACTCCAGGGGCATAAATCTATGATTGATTTTATAGTCACTAATAGATAAATCCACCCAAAGCAAATTCTAGATATCCGAACTTTAAACTCAGCAGACGCAGGGATTAAACACAAACTAGTACAAGCAAAGTTAAGAATGAAAATAACACCAAAACAAAATTTTCTACAGGAAATCACCGAGGAAAAATTCAATGTAGAATCACTGTGGAACGACTCTACAAGAGAAATGTACCAAATGAGGCTAGCTTGAGGAAAACGCAAAGTCATACTGAACAAAAGAAGCAACAACAATACACCATGGTTCAGAAAAGAAATAAAAGAGAAATGTAAAGAGAAACGAGAGGCCTACACGAAGTACAAAACATCAAATACCCCAGAATCCCGAGACAACTATAGAAGAATACGAAATGAAACAAAGCAGTTGGTAAGAAGACCAAAAAATGAACACTGGGAACAGTTTACAAAAAGGATGGAAAGCGACTTCTACGGTACACAAAAACAAATATGAAGATTTATAAGAAACCAACCAAAAGAAATGACAGAATTGAAGGAATACAGTAACATACCAGCAAACGAATGGGAAAGATACTGACGGAACTGTTTAAAGCAAAGGAAAATAATAATCAACACAATAACGTACCTAAATTAAGACACGAAATAGAAATCAGTTTTCAGGAAGTAGAAATAGCCATAAATTCGTTCAAAAATAGAAAGTCACCAGGACCAGACGGAATAACCAACGAGCTTCTAAAATACGGAGGAGAAACTAACAACTTTATCAGATGAGCAACAAGGATTCAGATCTGGAAGATCTTGCGTAGACGCCGTATTTGTACTAAGACAAATCACAGAAAAGGCCATCGAGTACAATAAACCAGCATAACTATGTTTTATAGACCTGGCAAAGGCTTTCGATCACATTCAAGTTGAAGACGTCTTACAGCTACTGTATAAAAGAAGCATACCAATCGAAACTATCTACCTCCATAATCGAATACAGGCAAAGATAAAAGGAAAACTAACACAGTGCATACCAGTACAAAGCGGAGTTAGCCATGGTGACTCGTTGAGCCCACTTCTGTTTAATATAATAATGGACGAAATATTACAAGCAGTACGTAAAGGTCTTGGCTACAGAATGGGGAACAAAGAAATCCAAATATTATGTTATGCAGACGACGCCGCATTAATCGCCGAGACAGAAGACGAGCTCCAAAGATTAAGACATATCTTCAATACAACAGCTAGTAATACAATATGATAATATCAGCAGAAAAAACCAAATGTATGACAACATCTAAATACCCACTACGATGTAAAATCGAAATTGATTGGAAAATAATAAAGCAGGAAGCAAGGTTTAGATATCTGGGAATAGATATAACTAGTTACGGAGATGTTGAAGAAGAAGTACGACAACAAAGCTTAAAAGCAAGTAAAGCGGCGAGTTCTCTTAATGACACAATTTGAAAGAACAAACACCTAAGGCAAGACACAAAAACAAGAATCTATAAAGCAGCAATTAGACCTATATTAACATACACGGCGGAGACAAGACCTGACACATCTAAAACGAGACAACTGCTAGAAACAACAGAGATGAAAATACTCCGACGAACATCAGGGAGAAGTCTGTTAGATAGGGAGAGAAGCGAAAACATAAGAAGAGCATGCAATATAGAAGACATAAATGGATGGGTGACAAAACGAAAACAGGAGTGGAACGAACACATCAGTAGTTTGGCAGAGGATAGAATAGCACGAATACCATAAGTCACCAAATGGACGAAGAAGTATTGGCAGACCAAGAAAAAGATGGTGCGACAATTTAAACAATTTAGGAGGCTAATATTGAAGAAGAAACAGGCTTTAAAGTCTACATACTAAGGAAGAAGAAGAAGGTATTGCGCGAGAAAAATAAAATTCAATTTTTAAGTTGAATTGAAGTTCTAAAGCAATTATACGCAAAACATATATTTTCTCTGCTTCCAATGAAGCAATGTTCTCCCTTTTTTTAATCCGATGTAACTCGAATATAGACACCTAAAAACGCGTTACCAAATTCCAACGATGCTCTAGTTTTGTTATAAATAAATTTATTTACACTCCAGTTATCAAGAGACGAAAATTTCACTGAACCTCCAAAAATCATACGAACAAACTGAAGACTGCTGAGAATGTTAATATTGGGACCCCAAAAATATGCAAAAAAAATATTACTCCTACCTTCCGGCTTCTGTCTAAAACTGTCCTCGTAGGGGGAAACAGAAAAAATCGATTTACTAAGAATCTGTACGTCGCAGAAAAAATATTTCAAAAAAAAATGTAGCTGATGCAATTTGGACAATGATGTTTATTATCACTTTTTACGTGAAATGAACCGTTCTTTCAGAAACAACGCTTGAAGCGACCGGCGATTTTTAATGTCAGCGTCGCGCACGGAATCAATTTTAAATATAACAAGAGTTCCAGCATTCTTATGCGATTTTTGCACTTTGTCGCATTTGTCGCAAAATTTTGCCATTTTTTTACGATTCTCATGAAATCAATAGAATTTACTATGGAATTTCTGTTACTAAAACCTAATCTTCAAAATCTATGGCATGAAATTTCGGTTTTGATTTTTGGCGACAAATGTGGGGCATTTGAAATATTCTTAAAAAACCCTGTAGTTAAACTTTTAAACAAAACTAAAGCATCTTTGGTATTTGGTATGCGTTTATAGGTATCTATTCGAGTTCACCATCATCCAGCCTCAAAAGTCTACTGCTGAAGGATTTTTCCTCGTGTTTTCAACCCCGTCTATCTCGCGCCACTTTCATCCAGTTTCTATTTTGTCCTCTTAAATCGTCAGCCCATGTAGTAGGTGGTCGACCGACGCTTTTCTTGTCTTTTTTTGGTTTTCACTCCAATAATCTCTTTGTCAATCGCCCATTCGTCATTCTAGCTATGCCATGCCCATCTATATTTTAGTCTGGCTATCCTTTCGATAACGCCAGTCACCTTAGTTCTTCTCCTGACCACCTTTTCGTTTTTTTATTTTGTCTGGCAGAGTTATTCCTAACGTGGATCGCTCCATTCTGCTCTGTGTGACTCTTAGTTTGCTAGCCTATGCTTTTGTTAATGTAATTGTTTCTCGTTCGTATAGCAACACTGGGAAGACGCATTGATCAAATACTTTTCTCTTCGGACATGTGGGCAGCTCACTTTTAAAAGTTTCTCTCAGTTTTCCATATGCTGCCCACCCAAGACCGATTCTTCTCTTCAGTTCATGGGTCTGATTATCCCTATCAATTATAATTTCCTGTTCTCCTATTCGAGTTACATCGAATTAAAAAAAAAAAGGTTCAAATATCGTCCTTAAAATTTTTCTTTCGTTAATTTCTAGTATCATTTTTGTGTTTTTTATTATATAACTGTATTTGTGTTATAATGAAGATGATTCCGTAGATTATATAGCAAAGGACTTTGTTGTCCCCCATTATTTTTTTTAATTTCTGCTTTTTCTGTTCCCTCTATCGATATATGAAACTCTTCACTAATTTAACATCGTCCTCTACTCTAATCTGATTTATATTATCTCCCCTCTTATCTTTGTTAGTATCTTTTTCTTGTCTGATCTTATCTTTTATGTTTTCTTTGCAGTCACAATCTTTTGGCAACTCCTTTTTGAGAATATGAATATGGTCCCGTCGCTTCCTCCACTCTGAGTGTACTGATGTGATTGTTAATCCGACATTCAATTGTCTTATAGCTTATATAAGTTTCAGATTGAACAGTGTTGGAGCAAGCCCATCGCCTTGTTTTAGACTTTTGACTGAAAGCTTTTCGTAAGTTCATTCTATATATCGACTGTTGCTGTCGTTAAATCCATAGTTGCTATTACTAGTGTTTTGGTCTGAAATATATTGTGGCTTTTGTTTCTTTACTGTTATTGACCTTGTTTTCTATCCACGAATGTACCAATAATACAGTAAACAGT